TCAAATTCAATGTCAATCTACCAGTAAGTGGTAGTCTGATTCAAATATACAGCTATTAAAATATTTTGGAAGCAATTAAAATAATTTAAATATGTATCAATTATTAAAATTAAAGTTATTAAATTGCTAATATTCTTTGGTGTTTGTAATAATAGTATTCTAGTTATGAGGAGAATATTCCTTAGATTCTTCAATATTTACCAGATAAGAATGAAGTGTCATGATATCTGCCACTATCAAAGGTTTTAGCAAGAAAATGTATATGTATGTATATACATTAAGACTTCTAATGTGACACTATATAATTGTTGATTCTAAAGGGTATATGAGTGTTTCTTGTACCATTCCAAATTCAATTTAAAAATTGTAAATAAAGGTATCATAAAAGTAAACATATTAGTTATTATTAATATAAATTCCTAGGTGTGCAGAAAATGTCTTTTGATCTGCACAAAAGTAATTTTGTAAATAGATATCTTATAAAACTATAAATTTGCATGGCTATATGGTAACGGATTTAAAATCCAAAAATGATAAAACAATATTATTAAAATATTAGGAGAAAATTGAGAGAATCTGAACTTCTCTGCCTAGCAAACAAAAAATGGAAATGAGTATTGTTCCCAACCTAACAATAAAAAAAATCCATGTAAACTACAAAGTCATTAATTTTCTTGAACCCATAAGACACTTGAGGTAAAGGGCAACAAAGTAACCTAAAATCTAAGGAAAGACAGGATCATCCAAGGAGAGACCATCAGGAGAACTGGTTCATTTATGGCAGAGCACAAAGGAAGTGATTTGGATGCAAAACGAAGAGTTAAAAATAATTCACCTAAATACTTAATGAATTGCTAAGGGCCAAGTGTGAGTAATCATGATAGTAACAGGGGTTCTCAAACTTTTTAAACAGGGGGCCAGTTCACTGTCCCTCAGACCGTTGGAGGGCCGGACTATAGTTTAAAAAAAAACTATGAACCAATTCCTATGCACACTGCACATATCTTATTTTGAAGTAAAAAAACAAAATGGGAACAAATACAATATTTGTATTTGCATGTGGTCCGCGGGCCGTAGTTTGAGGACCCCTGGAATCTCTGAGGGAGTGGCAGGAATGTGGAGAGACCCTCTCTGAGATGCAGCTTCACAGAAAAGGTATACAGCTGTCAGTGAAGCAAATGATGAAAACCCTCTGTCAAAACAGCCCCACCATAAGCACAAGATAACAAGGTAGCACTAGAATATAATGAAGCCCAGATGCAATGACTACCACTAGATAGCTCTCTCAAAAATATTCTAGTAAAAATATAGGTGTGCCTATGGCCAATAATTAATAATATAAGCCTCAGTGTCCACTGTTCTACACACATTGACCAGCATTCAACCAAAAATTATGAAATACATCAGCAAAAACAGTCCATGAAGAGTTCAACACAATCAGACTGAGGGCTAACCTAACAGACACAGAATTTTAATAATTATGAATATGTTAAAGGCTCTAAAGTAGTAGTTATCATCTGGGGGGCATCTTGTCCTAGGGAACATTTGGCAATTTCTGGAGACATCTTGAGTTTCACAGCTGGAGGGGTACCTACTGTAGTAAGTGCAGGCAAGAGATTCTGTTCAGCATTGTACAATGTACAGGACAGCCCCAGCCACAAGAAGTATCCAGCCCCCCAAATGTCAATAATGCTGAGGTTGAGAAGTTCTGTTCTAAACTCCCTTATATTGCCCTAACCGGTTTGGCTCAGTGGATAGAGCATCGGCCTGCGGACTGAAGGGTCCCAGGTTCGATTCTGGCCAAGGGCATGTACCTTGGTTGCGGGCACATCCCCAGTGGGAGGTGTGCAGGAGGCAGCTGACCGATGTTTCTCTGGCATCGATGTTTCTAACTCTCTATCCCTCTCCCTTTCTTTCTGTGAAAAATTACAAAACTTCAGTAAAAAAAAAAAAACTCCCTTATATTATACAGATGCTAAAAACAGATGTCTAACTTTTCACTATTAAAAACTAGAAAATG